GATTGGAATTTCCTGACTCCAGGCGCGGCTATCTATCTACTGCACCACCTAGCTGCTTTTAAATCATACTCAGAGATAGGTCAGCCTTCCTTTTAACAAACACATCAGTGCAAATCAGCATCTTCTCCCTGTTCTGGGAAACTGGTGCCTTCGATTTCCCATTGGCTGCTTTCCTTGGTTTGGACTCCCCAAATATCAGCCTTCCCCCAGGAGAAGCTGATCACCAGAAATCTCATCATCTTGGAGACTGCTTCAGCTGTGGTACTCAACACTTCCTCAACACCCTCAGTTGCCTCTTCCCACTGATTGGAGGGCAGAGCAAAAAGCTCCTTCTAAAGCCTCCCTTTATGGAGGGCTCTGAATTTCCAGTCAATTGTTCCTCTTCCATGCAAAATGCAAATCAAAACAACTCTGAGGTATTACATCACACCTATCTGATTGGCTAACACGCCAAAAATAGGACAATGATAAATGCTGGAGAAGATGTGGGAAAATTGGAATACTAATGCATTGTTGGTGGAGTTGTGAACTGACCCAACCATTCTGGAGAATAATTTGGAAATATGCTCAACTGGCTATAAAACCGTGCATACCCTTTGATCCAGCAATACCACTACTAGGTCTGTATCTCAAAGAGATCATAAAAAAGGGAAAAGGACCCACATGTACAAAAATATTTATAGCAGCTCTTTTTGTGGTGGCAAAGAATTGAAACTGAAGGAACGCCCATCAACTGGAGAATGGCTGGACAAGTTGTGGTATATGAATGTAATGGAATACTGTTGTTCCATAAATCATGAGCAGATAGATTTCAGAAAAACCTGGAAAGACTTACATGAACTGATGCTGAGTGAAGTCAGGAGAACACTGTACACAGTGACAGCAACATTGTGTGATGAACAGCTTTGATAGACTTAGGTCTTCTCAGCAATGCAATGATCTAAGATAGGCCTTGAGGCCAAGGTTCCCCACACCTGATAATTCCAAAAGACTCATGAAGGAAAACGCTATCCACAGCCAGAGAAAGAACTATGGAATCTGAATGCAGATCAAAGCATACTGTTTTCTCTCTTTCACTCTCTTTTTTTAAATTTTCTCTTGGTTTTCCCCTTTTGTTCTGATTCTTCTTTCACAACATGACTAACGTGGAAATATGTGTAATATAACTGTACACGTATAGCCTATATCAGACTGCAGGCCGTCTTGGGGAGGGGTGAGGAGGAAAATTTTAGAACTAAAAATCCTATAAAAGTGAAGTCTGAAGACTAAAACAAACAAATAAGAAAGATCTTTTAAAAAAAGTAATAAAATAAAAACTCCTTATCCTGGTATAGTTGAGGCCCTCTACAATTTGCCTCTATCTATCCAGGATAATTTCACTGTGGTCCTCCTCTGGTATACAACGTTTCACCAATTCTGGATTATTAGAAATCCTCTCCTCTCCTACCCACCATGTCCTCCTTCATCATTTCCATCTTTCAGAATTCCTCTTGTTTCAGCTCAGGTGTCATCTTTTCCATGAAACCTTAATTCCCTATTTGAAAGCATTCTTCTTTGCCTCTATTTTTCCTAGAGCACTTTATCTGGATCTCTTTCTATTTTGCTCCCATCACACATTATTTTGCATAACCTTTATTTGCCTATTACAGAATAAAATGCTTGAGGGTAAGGACTGTCATTTTTTTAAATCTTCATAGCTCTAATACCTAGCACTTTGCCTTGAAAGAACTTGATAACATCAATGACAGCATTCCCTCCATTATAGTATTGACTGTATTTTTTTTTTTTGGTATCAAGTCATAGAACCAACCCTCTGGAACTGGAAGGGACCACAAATGATCTGGATCAATCCCCTCTTGAGGAACGTGGAAGTACAGTAACCTGCTATGGCTACCTAGGATGATCTAGCCCAGGACTTCTGGTTCCCAAGCCAGGACTGTTCACATTGTACTGAGCTGTTTCCCCTCCACATCATCCAGTGCAACTATTCAGGTGTGATTTTATTTACTGACTCTTAAACACCTTTGGTCTCTGAGACTTTAAGGTGCTACTTCACCAAAGGGTTTCAGTCTCATTGGCCCATAACTCTGTTGCAAAGTGGAAGCAGGGGGAAGCAAAGTAAGGTAAAGAGTGGGACAAAACCTGGACCTGGTGATTAAAATATCCTTTTTTCTTTGAAGAGAAAACAGAAAACTCATTTGACTGTTTAATACCATAGCACTTCTGTCCTTCCTTACAACTCCCCACAAAACTGCAGGGCAAGCCCAAAATAAGAATTCTTAAAAAGAAAAAACCAAACCAAACCAAACCAAACCAGGCAGTTCAATTTTATACCAAGAAGCTTCACTGGGCAGCTTCCATTCCCAGGTTAGTGAAAGCCAGATGGACATGAAGAATATCTACATATTTAAATAGCATCATGTTTACAAACAGAACTATGAACTTATGATGCTCATGAAGAGATGTGCTTTCAAAATAAACATGACACACTGAAAGCTGGGACATAACATTAGTCATACAGTTTCAAAACAAAGCTGTTTGCTTCCTTCAAAAAAAAAAAGTAAAATTCATTTAATAAATCATTCACAACATCTGGCTCTCAATCAAGTGCTCATTTTGGCTCATGGTGGAGGGAAAAAAATCACATCAAGTTTAAATTCCGATTATCTGTTCTACATAGGGTTATTTGCTTGTGCACCCTCATGTGAGCACATATCTTTATTCTTTTTAAACTGAGGACAGGAATGGCTTATCTCTAGATGTGCTTTACACACTGCACCTTAAGTATCTTGAAATTTTATCAATACTCGATGCTGCCAAATATTTGTGTTTGCTGAATACCTGACTCCATTAGCAATGCTGTGCTGTAGCCCTTTCCTTGTTTAATAATTCATATACATCTCCTTCCAGAGCCCAGTTTTGCTTTTCAGAGACATCAAGAACAGCTGTCCTGTTTATTTCCATAAACTGAAGCTCTATGATACACACAATTAAGACTTTTGCTGAACTCTTTTCTCTTTCTTTTTTATTCTTTGTTATAAGGGATGGCTCTCTTAGAAGAGAGAGGAAAGATTACTGGAAAATATAAATGATATAAAAAAGGTATCAATAAAAATGTGAAATGTTTAAAAATGTCAGTTATGGTTCTAAAAATTTTTACATGAATAGAGCATTATTACACTGAAAATTACTCCAAAATCAATGCATGGCTCTTAAGAGGTCATAAGTGTTCTAATTTCATTCCTTCTCCTCCAATGAAAATGTTTACGACCAAGGGAAACTATGCAGACCCTAAAATGGATATTCTCTCAACCTAAAATACCTATATCAAATTTCACAATACAGAAAATCTCAAAATAATCTGCTTCCAAAAAAAAAATTTCCAACTTATTCGTACAAGGTGTTTCTGGGCAGCCAATTTATAGACTGAACAAAACTTCAAATGTGGTGCCATAAAAAAAAAAAGACCTCATCTTACATATAAATCAGAGCACAAGGGTAACATGACAATTTCCTCTCGCTTCAAGGGAGCCTCAAAGCTATAGGCAGTTTTTTGCCTACTACTCTTACTTTAAAATCCTAGCCAAGTTATCATTTAAGACTGTTCTTTATGATCTTCAAATTGCAAAACAGCACATTATGAGCATAAATGTGCTATTTTTGTGAGGCCATTTCTGGCCATTTGAAACATTTAACAGATTCTCAAGCAGACTAGATTATCTTAAGGCACTCTGAATTCTAGACCTTTGAAAAAAGTAGAAACCCTAACAGATCAGATTATATTATCACATTGCTGCTATAAACTATTTCCTAAGCATTCTGGCAGATCCATTTTTAAAGAGCAGGAAAACTTTAATCTGTAGAATATGCCTACTGGCCCACTGTGAAGGTGAGACTAAGGAAGGAAAAGCATCTTCTTTGTAACTTCTAGGTAAAAAGCTGCCTAAGGCTACAAGAGGTTAAGTGACTTGCCAAAAGAGTCATACAAACGATATGTGTCAGAGGCAGAATTTGAATCTAGGTTTTCCTTACCCCAAGGCAGGTTCTCCATCCACTACACAATGCTGCCTCTTTAATTTGCATTATCAAAAATACACACATATAAATACATATTGTAAATTACAAATATTATAAATATATGTAATTGTACTCATTTAATTCCATTATAAAATCAGAAATACTGTTTACTTTCATGATTTTCCCTTTTTATCCTTTCTACAAATTTACATTCACTTAAAACCTAAGAAATGGTCATTAAATCTGAATTTAAAATCCCACCCTTTGGAAGGGAACTTAAAATGTAAGCTTCAGATTTCTATTAGAAGAATGTACACATACTGGAATGCACAAACATTAGATCCTCCCACCAACATGTTAGTGCTTCCTCTTGAAATTATCTTATATTTGTTTTGCACATAGTTATATGTATACATGTTATCTCCCATTAGAATGTAAATTCCATTAAGGGAAGAACTGTTCCATTCATTTTTGTCTTTGTGTATCTAACAGTTGGCACATAATAATTACTTAATAAATACTTATTGATTGATTATAAGATTCTTAAAAACATGAAAATATACATGTTCACAGTATTAGTAAAAAAAAAAAAAGCCCTCCATGAACACTCCATCCCAAGTGCCTTCTTTTTGTCACACTCCACCCCAACAGCAAATGCTGAGTGAGATCCTTGGTGAAGGTAGAAGCACTTTCTTGTATTCTTCGTAGACAAATTTGAATTTTGAAAGGTGAGGTGCTTAGTGCTTCCAAAGCTTTTCAGACTTTTCAGCCAGGCCTCCAGAGAATGCTGTTTTTGTTCATCCAGATGCTGCAGGATCCAAATTTGTTGTCGGATGTACAAGAACTGAATGGTGCGGGCCTTCTATGCTGCCTTCTATTTGGTGACTCCTTCAGATAAATGCACTTACCTGAAACCAATCACTGAATTGCTCAAATCAAAAGATATGATGAAGAAAAGTTGATGCCAGGGAGCTCTTTCTTACCTTATGTACACTTTTGGGGTTTTCCAACCAAGCATAGTACATTTCCTCCACATAATTTGAACTAGTCCCACTCAAAAAAGGCTCAGCAGCCACAGGTGCACCATAGCACCTAATTTGTTGAAACGTCCTAGCTGCTGGCCTGTTCTGTGCAAGTGTCTTAACAGTCTGTGAGGCCGTCAATGGCCTCAATTTAGCAGCACAAGTCCGTAAGTGAAACATTTTTGTCCTGAAGCCTCACACGAGCTCCTGTTGAAAGAGGAATAAACAAAACAATACTTAAGAAGTAAGACAACTGGAGTAAAGGGAAAAATTCATCTTTTTAGACATTACGTTCAACTAACTTGGTCCCTTCAGAGGTCCTACTCTAATCTTCACTCCCAAGTTGTAGAGGTGAGCCTGGGTCCTTGAAGGCTATGCCAAGGGTGCACAATATTAATTGCTAACATTTATATAGTGTTTTATGGTTTGCAAAAAGCTTCACATACATATATTTTCTCATTTGATCCTCATAAACCTGTGAGGATTCTCATTTTACAGATAAAGAAACTGAGGCTGATAGAAGTTAAGTAAGCTGCCCTGGGTCACACAGCTGGTAAATGTCTGAAGCCAGATTTGAACACAGGTCTTCCTGACTTCAAATCCAGTGCTCCATTTACTATATTACTTAACTGTCAAACTCTGATAACTCCTACCCTCACAGAATGAATCTCTTAAGGGCAGAGACCATTTCAATTTTGTCTTTGTATCCCCTGGGTTTGGCACATGGTAGTTATTTAATAAATACTGATTAATGACAGATAAGTATGGGTCTAGTGACACACAGACTATTTGTCTGCTATTCAAGGACCAGCAAAGGTAAGCTCAGAAAAGTCTATCACCAGGCTAGCCACACAAATCTCAAAAACCACCTATTAAACCACAGACAGGGTGTCATCAGGAAATTACACTTCCTTTAAGTACTACTTTGGTTATTCAGGAGAAAAATCATGGTCACCAAAATTGCCTGCATAGATGTGGTGCCAAAAAAGGGAAAACAATCCAAATTTATAGTGCTATTAGGAAATGGCTGAACATAATGTGGTATATAAATATAATGGAATACTTTTGTACATGAAAAAATACAAATATGAAGACTATAAAGGAATATGGAAAGACAAGAGATAGAGAATAATTTGAAATTTATAGCTTTACATATAATCATTTTAAAAATTGTTTCAGTGAATATTTTATAGATACCCAAGGTTGATAAAAAATGACAGAAATAAAACCTTAAACCCAGAATTACCTTCAGTAGCAGTGTATAATCAGCATTTGGCACACTGGACAAGATGAGGAGCAAAATAAGTGATTAAGTCAAATCAAAGTAACACATTTTGAGAGTCTACTGTGTACAATGCACCATACTAATCTTTCAGGGAGATAAAAGATTAAGACAGTTCCTACCCTCAGAGGCTTACAAAATGATTGGGAAAATAAGAGGTCAACTTAAGGGAAATTAAGTAAAAATAAACAACTTAAAAGTTCAAGATGCCATGCAGCAGCATATAATTAATAAATGAATGTAACATAAATAGGATAAGTAGTATGAAACTCACAGAAGGGAGAAGTTGAAATGTTTATTTGTCTTTGTACTCTTTACTAACACTTTACTAAATTTATTTTTTAATTCATTTTAGTAAAAAAAAAGAATTTATGTTTGTATATGTAGATTTCAAATAGATGACAGCCATCACATTTTAAGAAGCAAGCCCCTCACTCATACACAAAAGATCAGCATTGCATATAATTACAAAGGAAGGGGGGAAACTTGGGGCTTGGGTCCCTGGGTGAGGTATATAGGACAGAATAAATTTTAAAAGGCAGAGAAGTTCCAGATGAGGAAAGCTGAGCTTTGGTAGCACCAAAGGTTCTCAAGAGAGTTCACCAAGGGACTTGGCAGATTGGATTATAGCAGCAATTACTTCACTGGTTAGTGTGGGAGAATATTAAAAACCTTTTTAGTTTCTTTAGAATATTTTCCTCTAATGCCTTTTTCAAAATCCTAGAAAAGCCACTGGACCAAAAGGCTTTTCTCAGGGAAATGGAATTAGGATAGTACCAAGCCTTTTAATAAAGAATAACTCGTTTATGTCATTGCCTTCCCCGATGAGGGCATGTGGTTCTCAACCCATCTAAAAGGTCTACCAGAAGTAACTGGTAGGTTAGCACTCACTCTTCTCCATTGGGAAAGGATTAAAGGATCAGTAGAAAGGAGAAAGTCCCTTCATTTGACTCCGGGAGTAAGAAGAGTTGTCCTGGAGGAATGGGATAATGACTTGGTTGCTCAGTTCCAAAATGTTAACCCAGATTGTCAGTCAGTCAATAAACATTTATTAAGCACCCACCATAGGTCAAATATTGTGCCAAGCATTGGGGGATACAAAGAAAACCAGAGTCCATGCCCTCAAGAAGCTGATAATCTAACAGGGCAGAAAACATGCAAACAACTATATACTAACAAGATAAACTGGAAATAATCAATAGAAGACACTAGAATTAAGGATTGGGAAAGGCTTCCTTTTGGGAAGCTGGGATTTGAGTTGGGACTTGAAGGAAGCCAGGAGGCTTAGATAAAGAGAGAGAAAATGCTTGGACAAGACACAGACAGAAGAAAACAGTTACATGACAATGGAAGGAACAAACATCAAGCTTTACCCTTTTACAAGATGTATCATTTTTGCCGGAGACAATCTTAAAAGCCCTTAATGGAAGAGACAGAAATTAAGCTACAATAGCTAGACTTTGTAGAGTGGAAGGGCATTTCAGGTAAGACTAGTGTTGCAAAGGTTCTGAATCATCACAGTAAGTAAAGGGTGGCACTGCAACTGAAGTCTAGAGATCTGCATTTAACTCCAGTGTACAACACTAACTAATTGTAAGATGATATTAAACTACTTACTCTTTTCTGGCCTCAGGGTTCTCATCTATAAAATGAGGATAATATTTATAATTACTTCAACACTCTGTCGTACAGAAAGGACTTTGTAAACTTTCTAAGTGCGATGTAAATTTAAGCTTATTAATAAACATGGTAGTAATAATAATAATTATAATAGCTACCATTCAAGGTTGGCAAATTTGCTTTACAAATATCTTATTTTAAACTTATAATAATCTTACAACAATAGGTGCTATTATTATCCTTATTTTATGAATGAGGAAATTGAGACTCAAAGAGGGTCATGGGGCACCTAGGTGGAGCAGTGGATAGAGCACCAGCTCTGGATTCAGAAGGACTTGAGTTCAAATCTGCCCTGAGACACATAACACTTACTAGCTGCTGTGTGACCCTGGGCAAATCACTTAACCCCATTGCCTAGCCAAAAAAAAAAAAAAGCTAGGCATCATCTTATACACAAATCAGAGCACAAGGCCAACATGACTACTTCCTCATCTCACTTGAACGATATAAAACCCCCTCTTCAAGGGAGACCAATAGTTACAGATAGTTTTCTACCCACTAGTACAAAGCTCTTACTTTAAAATCCTAGCCAAGCTGTCATTTATAAGACTATTCTTTATGATCTTCAAATTGCAAGATAGTACATTAAAAGAACAAAGGTTTAAAATTTCTAGTCATGAAGGAAAGATAGTATCTGTGAGAGCTAATGATACAAAATAATCATGAATTATTAGTATCATGTGAAACTATGTGAAAACTTAGTTATTCATAGAGATACATATGTCACAACTTCATTTACAAGTGCGCAAACAAGGGATAAATCTCAAAACTGAACATTCTTACATAGGTGACCATTAATTTATAAAATGATACTATTAATGAATCATTCATTTCAGGTGCAAATTACAAAGCTACTATGTAATTATAGTGACCAAGCTTGGCACTAGAGAAAATCCCTTCTTTGAAGAGAGGTGGAGGACTGTAAATATGGTACGTAGCAGATACTCTTAGACTTGACTGGTATTGGTTAGTTTTACCGAACTGCCTTTTTTCTGTTTGTTTTTATTCTTTGTTAGAAAAGATGGCTCAGTGAATAGAAAAGGAGGGAGAGAATATAGGAAATGAAGGTGAAATGGAAGCAAAAGATATCAATAAAATAATTTTTTTTAAAGTTACAAAGCTAAGCATTTAATCAAACAGGAACAACTCTGAGTATTTTTCCAAACTTATGTTTTCAACTGATATTTAAAATGCTCTCCAATAAGGAAAGGTTGACTGAAAAGGCAATTTAGTATTACTATCTGTAGGCCTTGAAATATAGATTTGTCTAACAGAATTTTTAAAATATGTGCCTTTAATGCATAATGCCCACAGCTGACTACCTGCAGCCTGTGCAAAGTATATAGGCTCCTTCTAAATACCATGATGTTAATGATATATCAAGGAATGTCCACAAAAGCTATTCAGAATATGAATTCTTAGCAGATGTGCTGTTGAGAAAAACACTAACCCAAAATTTACATCCTCTAGGAACACCAGCTGAGCATATCACCACAGTGCCACCTAACAAATCACTTCACTAAAGTGGAGAGCTTCATTTTCCATTTAGTAGTCATCAATGAGGCTCTCTTCTTGTATGGTTCAACATTTTCATCAAGAAAATGCTTTTTCAAAAATTGCTATTCTTTCTAAAAAATAATTGATTTTTAGTTTTCAACATTCACTTCCACAAGATTTTGAGTTCCAATTTTTCTCCATCTCTCCCCTCCCCCACCCAAGACTACATGCATTCTGCATACCCCTCCCCACAACCTGCCCTCCCTTCTATCCCCTGCCCCCACCCACTTCCCTTTCTATTTTCCTGTAGGGCAGGATAGATTTAAGAAAATCCTTAATACATGATTGGGAACCACAAAAGTTATCCTAGTTCTTGCAAAATTATACAGAACTTTCTATGACGTTAAAATGAAAATACTCCCTCACTTCTTCCCTAAATATCTCACTTGACACCTTTAAAGATGCAAGAAATATAGGCTGAAAGTTGGGATTGGTGAGAATTTCTTAGCCTAAGTTACTAGCATGATGGAGTAAAGCAAGTAGGACCTTGAATCACATGACCTTCCTTAAAGTTCAGCTTTACTACCTGAGCATAAATGCAGGCTAGTTACTTAACTTCACTGGCCCTCGGCTGCCCTACATGCAAAATGAAGGGACTGGACTAGACAACTTCAAAGCGGCCTTTTCTATTCTAAATGTATGATTTTATGATGAAACCCCAAACCTAGTGCACCTCCACCCACATCCT